TTGGGAGTCAGGCATCTAAATTTGTCATTTCTATGAATGGGGTAGAGAGAAAATGGAGAACTGTGGGCCATGATCTAATGACACTTCTCAGATTTTTGAGCTCATTGGTTAGAGAGAGGTATGGAAAATCATAACCAATCCGGCAGACAAATGAACAGATAGTTAAATGGCATATCTATGTGCATAGTTGCATTTTTTAAAACCTGAGGTTTAGAAAGAATAGAGTTTAGTTTCTTCTTACTAACTTAAGTGGAATTTTCAAGAGATCTGGTGACACTCTCATACTTTCAGTTTCCTCCTATACAAAACGAAGAGGGTTGAACTCTGAGATGATCTCTGAGGTCCCTTTTTTTTTTTCTTTTTTATTACTAAAACTTAAATATACAACAAAAAATAGAAGAAACAAACTTAAATATTGAAACTTAAATACAAAATAAGAAAAGGGAAAAAAGGCATGTCACATGCACAACAGAACATAAGAGAGGATTCAAAATATATAGCAATACATTTCCATTTCAAGGGAGCCTGTATAATAAATACTACACATTGTGTTGACAGCTATGCATCTTTGCTTCCTTGTAAGTTTTTTTTGTTCTTTGCTGTGTACTATGAGGTCCCTTTCTGCTTTAAATTCTGTGATCTTGTTCTAAGGGGGCCCAGCATGATATGAAAGTAACTGGCCTATAAGCATTTTCCCCCCTTAATGACTCCATGATTCCTTGATTTTTACTTCTTGCCCATCTACCAAGAGACCCTGTCTCAGTTAGTTTAGGCTTCCTAAAAGATGTAGGATGGTTCCTTCAGCCATGTCTGTTGCTATGAGAAATGGAAATCACAGTATCACATGAGTGTAGAATATTACAGCAAGTAGGAGGGACCTTAGAGCTCATCTTGTCTGACCCTCACATTTTTTAGAGGAAGAAACTGAGACTTTGAGGAGGCAATTGACTTGTCTGGGGTTACACAGGTTGTAAGTAGCAGAAGTAAAATTGGAACCTAGGTCCCCTGTCTCTAAATCCAAAGCTCTTCCCACTATACTTCACAGATATGTATTTCCCTCCTGCCAAAGGAATCCTTCAGACCTGCTAGGTTCCAGGGGGGCCCTGAACAATGTTGACAGATAATACAATCTCATTTGCAAACCTGTCAGTTCTAAACTGAGTTAGGACAAATGGATTAAGAGCTGGGTGGAAATTTCGAGGTCACTGAGTGAAGATGTTTGAACATTTGCTTTCTATCTACAGCCCTATTTTTCAACTATGTGGTACACTTAATCCAACATGAAGTATCCCATATTACATTTTCTCTTGATTATAGGTTTTCTCATTCTCAAATGATCTTTGGCTACCAGTAGGGAATTTCCTTTTTTTTCCTTCTAATTGTGTGTATGTGTTTTTAACTCAACCTTTTGTATTTCATCTGTATTTCCTCTTAGGAGCCATAATAGGATACTGGCTAGAATTAGAATTATAGAGAAATATATATATTTGAAATTATCATAGGTTTTTTTTAACCTATGATAATTATAAATACATATTTCTCTACAAGGTGGGCAGAAAAGTGAATGTGGATCTTGCCCAGGGAGGAGACCCAAAAATAATTGGTATAATGAGAGCAAACCAGATGATTTTCCAGATTAGCTGGGCTATGGGTGATGGATACAGAGATTCAAAATCAGTCCTATATTTGGGGCTATTAAGTTATTATGATTCCTTAGAACCTTCAGAGGGCCCCAGCCCACAGTCATCCAGTTGGCTAAGCTCCCATACATTTTATGGGAATGGGGCTGGGATGTGGAACTCTTAGCTCACCAGGATAAAACCAGTTCTGCTTGGCAGGGACTGGACTAAACAAGGAACATGAGCTATTTTTCTGATGTTTTTTTTGTTGCTTACGCTTAGTCCAAAGTATCTCCTCACCATGGTCTCACTCAGCGTCCTCAATAACTGGCCTCCTTTTATAGATGAGAAAACCAGGAGCTAGGACGATTTTAGAGCAGAGATCAGGACTGAGCTTACTTTCCTTGACTAATATCAACCAGCACATACTTACTGAGCTCCTAGTGCACATTGTACTCTTTGCTAGGTATTAGGCAAGCTATAGGCACACAGCACAAAAAGAAAATCAGTCAATCAGCAACCATTTATTGAGCACCCAGTATGTGTTAGGATCTGATGAAAGCAAAACTGGAGCTGCCCTCAGGGAGCTTATATTCTATCAGGGGACATACCATTCACATATGTAGATTTATATAAAATAGTAAATGTATCTAAACTACATTATAAATGCAGTTTACTTTTGGGTCATGGGAGGCAGAGAAGGAAAATTTTTTTAATAAAATTTTTATTTTTATTGATATCTTTTGATTTTACATCACCTTCACTTTCAAATGTATCCTTCCCCTCCCCTCCTCTGTGAACCATTCTTCATAACAAAGAATAAAAAAGAAAGAGGGGGGAAAGCAGTTTAGCAAAACTAATTAATATATCAACCAAGTCTTATTGGTTATGCAATATTCTACACTCATAGCTTTCCATCTCAGCAAAGAGGAGAGAGGCCTTTTCCCCAGGAGATAAGAATCTTAATGGGAAGAAGAGACACAAGCTATATTTGGAGATTTCCCCAGGGTTCCAAGGAAGAGGGGAATTACAAGTTGAATCTATGATAGCTTAACAAAGTACTGTATGCAAATGATTCTTTCCCCTTTTAAAACCCTAGAGCAGTAGTCTTTAAAGTGTGGTCTAGGGAACCCCAACTCTTCTTTCTCTGGTAGCCCTCCTGCCACATTCTCTAGACCACAAGCATACTTTCTCTGGAGTATTTATAAAAGAAAATATATTTAAAGAACTAATTAAGGTTCAAATGATTAAAAGGACATCTAAAAGAATTCCACCCAACCCAGACTCGATGATTCCCAATCTTCCTAGACTATCTTACCTAGTTAACACTTTTCCCTCCCCTGAGTCTTCCCAAGGCACAAGAGGGTCCTATTGCCATTTAAAAGAATAGAGCTTTCTAGGGGCAGCGAGGTGGCGCAATGGATAGAGTACCAGCCCTGGATTCAGGAAGACCTGAGTTCAAATCCGATCTCAGACACATATAACACTTACTAGCTATGTGACCCTGGGCAAATCACTTAACCCCATTGCCTAACCCAAAAAAACCCCCCAAAACCCCATCTTTCTCCTTCCCTCTTGCCCATGTGCTTTTGGTCTAGCCCCTGGCCTAAATTCATTCCTTGGAGTTACAATCCCAGGCTTACTCTCAGCTAATCAGGAAGCCCTGTGATCTACAGCCAATCATTCCAACAACCTCTCCCTGTTTAGCTACTATCAAGTCCCCACCTACTAACTCTTATGTGAGCAGGAGCTAATTGGGTAACTGCTATGTCCCACTGGCAGCTAGGGGATGCCCTAGTGCACGGGCCTAGAGTCAGGAAGACTCATCTTCCTAAATCCAAATCTGGTCTCAGACGCTTACTAACTGTTACCCTGGCGAGTCACTTAACCCTGTTTGTCCGTTTCCTCATCTGTAAAATGACCTGGAGAAGGAAATGGCAAACTCCTCTGGTATCTTTGCCAGGAAAACCCCAAACAGGGTCATGGAGAGTTGGACACAACTGAAAAATGACCGAATAACATGTCTATGACCAAAGAGAGCTTAATGTGCCTGGTATAACCTTTCCAGAGATAGATTGTAATCATGCTAGCACATAATGCTACTGCTATTACTGATAACAATAATTCAGAAGATCTGTGATAGCTTCAGTGTGATTGCTCCTTCAACTACTCCTTGACCAGCAAAATCTTCATCTCCTAGTGGCCAGCCTTCTAGTGTATGGTAGCTGTCATTATGAATTTTTGCTCCTGGAGTAAGGGTGGAAGAGCTAGGCTGAGAGCAGAGCTTTCTTTGGGTGGGGCCTAAGGGGAAGTAGCACAATAAAACACCTAGGCATCTACCCTACCCACCCACCCCCATCCCTGCACCACCCCAAACCATGGGCGGGGAGGAGACTCCCTCTTTGACAAAGCTCTATTGATGAGGGTGGGGTAGGCTATGCGGGCACTCACCTCGGATGTTGGGTGGGGAGATTGTGGAGAAAATGTGCCCCAGGATAGTGGTGTTGGAACCCTCCTAATTTCAGTGCTGTGAGGTAAAACCCAAGTGACTCCATCCGGGTTATAACTCTGTGTCACTGGGTCTGTAGTTGAAGCCTTTCCATTGTGGTGGGACTTAATAGATTTATACTCTACTGGCGCAGCTTTCAAGAACTCAGAGTTACTCCCACCTCAGGATGAGTCACAGGAAGAAGATTTTAATGGATGAAAATTTAAGCCTTTTTAAAAAATACCTTTTATTTTACATCAGATTAATTTCTAAATATATCTTTTCTCCTTCCCTTCCCTCCCTTGTAACAAAGATATAAAAAGAAGAAAAAGCAGTCCAGCAAACCCAACAACATATTAAGTATATGATAGTATGTACAATATTCCATATCAACAGTATTCTGCCTTTTTTTTAACAAGGAAGGAAGTACATTTTCTCAACTCTTCTTTGGGTCTGTCCTTGGTCATTTTAATTATGTAAGGTTCAATTTTTTTCCCATTACATTGTTATGGTTATTACATATTGTTTTCCTGATTCTGCTTACTTTATTCTGCATCAGTTCATATAAACCTTCCCTTTTTTATTTCTTCATATTTATTATTTCTTAAGGCATAGTAATATTCCATTATATTCATGTAACACCGTTTTTTTAGTCATTCCCCAATCTTTGGGCATCTGCCTTGTTTCCAATTCTTCGCTACCATAAAAAGTTTGGCCTTTAATATTTTAGTGTATATTGGATCTTTCTTATCTTTAACTTCCTTCAAGTACATGCTTATCAGTGGAATCCCCGGGTCAGAGTATGGATAGTTTGATCATTTTTTAAAAAGCGTAATTCCAAATTGCTTTCTGTAATGGTTATACTCATTCACAACTCTACCATGTTTTAATAGACCTGCCTTCCTGTGGCCCAGCTCCTCCACCACCGATGTTTTCCATCTCCTGTCATCCTGCTGCTTTGCTGGGTAGGAAGTGAAACCTTGAAGTTGTTTTGATTTGTATTTCTTTTTTTTTGTGATTTGGAGCAGTCTTTCATATGATTTCTAATAGTTTGTATCCTTTGACTATTTCTTGAATGAATAATATTACTAATTCCTGTTTCTATGGTGTTTTAAGATTTGCAATGTGGTTTCCTCACAACCACATGAATTAGGTTAGGCAAGGATTATAAGCACCATTTTATATAACCTCAAATGTAAGGAGATATCACTCAAAAGGTTATAAAGGTCCCTTCTCTCATTTCATCTATGAATCCCAGAATTCAATCCAGTCTATACCTGGCTGAGAATTGCCTCTGTTACAAGTGATCATTTAACCTATGCTTAAAAATTTCCAGTGAGAGAGAACCTACTTGCTCCTGAAGTGGTTTACAGTATTATAATTTTAAAGAGCTCTGGTTGTAAGACAGTTTTTTTCCCCCTTTACCTCAAACCTAAATTTGTCTTTCTGAAACTTCTACCCATTGCTTCTAGTTCAGGAGACCAAACAAAAGAGTCTTTTCCCTCCTACCCTACAGCCCTTCAAATACTAGAAGACACTTATCACATTCCTCCAAGTCTTTTCCTGCCTAAATACCCCCAATTTCTTCAGTTGATACTCATATGCCATGATCTTGAGATCCGTTAGAGGGATTTAGGCTTTTTTACCCTTGATCTTATGATAAATTATTGGCAATGGAGGAGTTGGGAACAAGGTCTTCCTCTGCTTCTGTCAGTCTTTAGGGCCATTTCTTTTCTCTCTCAAGGTCATACTTCCTATAAACCCAGGTTTTGCTAATGGCCAAACCAAAGGTAAATAGACTTGGGAAGAAGTATAGGAGGGATCATAGGGTCATAGGTGAGAACTAGAAAATAGCTTAGAGAATATATATGTGTATATATATGTGTGTACCTATAGAAACATATGCGTACATGTATACACACATGTATTTATATGTGTATGTTGTGTGTATATATATATCTTCTAATTTTGTACATGAGGAAGCTAAGGCTAGACAGCTGATGTGATTTGCTCAGGGTCACACACTGAGTAAGTAGCAGTGTTGAATTTTTAATCTAAGTATTCTGAATCCAAATCCAACACTATTTCCACTGTAGTCTGTAGGTGATGGGGGCGGAGGAGAATGGCAGGACAGCTATTCTGGTCTCCTCTTGTGGGGATTGGAGGCATCCTCAGGGAGGTTCCCCCATTCTGTGAGCTTGCTTCTTTGAGCCCCAGAGTTTGGCTTCTTGCTTCTCTGCTCTTTACTATGCATTTTTCCTCAGTGGCACAGGCTGTCCCTAAGCTAGAGGAAGAGTGTGAAATATCTATAACTTCTGTTCATCTTTTCTTTTGCTACTTTAAAAAAATCATCAACCCAACCTCTCATGCATTTTCATCCCATGCAATGTCTGTCCATGTTTTCCCACATAGGCATATATAATATAGCCCACATATATAGTGCATCTTCCATCTTTCGTGGTTCTGCTCAGACATTTTTGTGCTAGGAGGGGAAGTTGGGGAAATGTCTCCCCTTTCAGGTACCTTTATACCTTACCATTTGAAAAGTAATTTCTAAGTTGAGTCAGTGGCCTATGGCAGAGATCATTTCTAAAAATCTGTAATTAAAGCAAGACAGACATATATTCTAATTTGTATAATTTTTGACTGTTTCTAATTATTATCAATTATAATGATAAATAATATCAATATTACTATTTAATGTGATTATATTATTATAATTATGTATATATAATTATATATTGTAACTATCTGCTACACTATACTGCTAATAAGTAATAATATATGATATATAATAATTGTTATTATAACAAGTAATAGAATTTATTTTCTCCCTTTCCTCTTTCCCAATGAAAGACTGAGGGAAATGAATGGCATCTACTCAGAAAGCATGCTTAGCAGGGTTTGCAAATGGTAGAGATTTAAAAAAGAAGTCTTGCTGAGAAATAGAATGAAACTTCTATAGATTCAGCCCTCATTTTGCTTAGGGGAGATGTTACTGAAAGATATGAAAACCATAGAGATTTTTCCTTGCCTTGACTAAAATCCTTCCTATGCCTATAGACCTGGGGAAAGACTTGAAGAATAGGAGGAAGGGAAGAGAGAAAGAAGAAAAATAAGCCACCATTTCCACTTGGATCATTAGACATCAGCAAGACTTATGTGTATGTGTGGTCCACAGAAGTGAAGTAACTTTTCTACAGTCACCAGGTAAGTGACAGCGGTGGAAATTTGAGCCACGGTCTTTGAGACCCAACATCCATTGCGCTTTCCACTATATCACAGAGTGTGTCTCAGCATGCTAGGGGATATGATACATACATTTTTTTAGGTTTCCTGAGCCAAGAGAAATAAGAAAATCCCCTAAAGTTAGGGTTTTTTTAACCTGGGGTCCGTGAACTTATTTTTTTAAAAATGTCATAACTGAATTCAACATAATTGGCTTCCTTTGTAGTCTTATGTATTTTATCTTATGCATTTAAAAACAGTATTCTGAGGAGTTCATAAGCTTTGTCAGATTGGCCAGGGGGTCCATGAAAAAGGTTCAGAACTGCTATCCTAAAGTATACTCAGGTCCTGCATGTCCTGAGAGCCTCTGACAGAGATTATAATAATGATGATGATGTATGGTATGTAAATGATGATGACATAGCATAATAATGATAATGATAATGATGATGGCCTCTTACACACATATAGTACTGAGTAGTTTTCAAAATGTTTTCATAGACATTTCACTTGAAACTCTTGATTGATTAGTGTTTATATACGTATTTTGTATACATTCTTAATATAGTAATACCTATACATGTTGTCTCCCTCAGTATAATGTAAGCTCTTTAAAGGCAGAGACTGTTTTTTTAAAATTAAATTATATTTTAAAAATGAACAGGCAATTATTTGTTCCTCCCATTAAAACAACAGCAACAATGCAGCAGTGACAAAATCTGTGTAACAAATATGTATAGCCAAACAAAACAGATTCCCACATCGGTTGTGTTAAAAATTGTGTGTCTTGTTCTATATATTAAGTCTGTTAACTCTGTCAGGAGATGAATAGTATTTGTCGTCACTGGTGCTCTGGCATCATGATTGGTCACTGAATTGAGCAGAGTTCTAAGGTATTTCAAAACTGTTCATTTATAACATGTTGTTATACTATAAATTATTCTGGTTTGGCCCAAGTTTCTCTAAAACCATTCATTTTATACAGCATAATAATATTCCATTACATTCATATACTATGCTTTATTTATCAGTTTCCCAATTAATAGGTACTACCTTGTTTTTCAATTTTTTGCCGCCACAAAAAGAGCTGCTATAAATATTTTGTACATATAATAATAGCATATATATAATGGTGACTGTGTGCTCAGCACTTTATAATATTATCTCATTCAATCCTCACAAAAATCCTGGAAGGTAGGTGCTATTACTATCCCCATTTACAGTTGAGGAAACTGAGGCAAGCAGAGGTTAAGTGACTTGTCCATGATCACATGGCTAGGAAGGATAAGAGACCATATTTGAAATCTCTATACATTTGTATCACCTTATGCATACATATGGGTCCTTTTCCTTTTTCTTTGATCTCTTTGGTACAGAGTTAGTAGTAGTATCACTAGATTAAAGGGTAGGCACAGTTTAGCAAAATTTTGGTCATAGTTCCAAATTACTTTTCACTATGGCTGGGCCCATTCACAGATCCACCAACAGTGCATTAATGTGCCTACTTTCCTACTTACTCTTCTGAAATTTGGACTTCTTTTTTTTGTTAACCTTGCCAACCTGACCCTTATTCAGTGTTCTTTCCAACTTTAGGGCAGTTTTTGTTGGTATTTTGTGATTAAAGCTTCTAAGACTGAAGTCCACTCAAGTTTTAGTTCAAGATGCTTTTGCCTAATGCCTCAAGTGATATATATTCTCTGTCAAGCTTAGCTTATTCTCCTGGCTTCCAAAGAAGAACCATGGTATCAAAGAATGCATTGGTAACAGTAAATATCCTTGCTTTACTAATCTGATCCTTTTGGAAAGGCCTCTGGTGTTTTTCCATTTCAGGTCAGGCTAGTTCTTTGCTTTTGATGATACTGTTCAGTATATTTGTGTGCATTGAGGATTATTAAATTAAGAATGAAAAAGAAAATTTAATTTTTTTTAAAAAGATGGATTAGATTTTGAATTAGATGATCAACCCAGTCTTTTGGCAAAAAAAAAACCAAAACGAAACAAAAAAACTTGTCCTACTAGATTCTAAAATGCATTAAAGAGCAACAGTGATAGTGCTCTGTGCCACATTTCACCATCACTCTCATATCCTGTCTGTCTCTTCTCCTTACAGTGACATAGGACATTAAATGCCAATGTTTGCTGTGAGGATATATGCATGAAGTTTTATTGTGTTTATGTCAACAGAAGACAGTATTAATGATGAGAAGGTCAGGAGATATGCAAGTTTTCAGTAGTAAATGACCATTGCTATTGCTGTTTCTGACTATTCTTCCCAACAGTCTGATAATCTGTACCTACTGTGGCATTAAAGTCACCCAGAATAAGAAGTTTGTCCTCTTTTGGCACATTGATGATGAGAGTCTCCAGATCTTCATAAAATTTTTCTTTGACCTCATCAGGGTCATGGGAGCATACATACAGATGATGGTAGTATGGCACTTCCCTGCAAGTGGCAATCACATTGTAATGAGCTTGCCATTTATTCCTTTTGGGAGGTATACAAGCTTGTTGACTAAATTAGATTTTATTACAAACCTATGCCAACTTCATGGTGCTCCCCATCACTGTAGCCACTCCAGAAAAACATTTATCCAGCTCTGACTTCAGTAAGCTGGCCTTCATTTGCCAACCTTATTTCACTCAGGGCTGCTAGATGTAATACCCACTGAGTTCTCTCATAATAAGAGCTGTTTGTCGTTTGGGTCTTTTGGATTTCTTGTTGTCCATAAGCATGTGTACATTCCATGTACCAATGGTGAGTGGAATCATGAAAAAGGTTTTGTACATTTTTTTATGTTTCAACCTCAGGGTAGGATCCCCACCTGCAGCGGTAGCAGGCCACAGTTAGGTTAGGTAAAACAGACCATTTTTAGGGCACATTTTCTGGTACCTTCCTCACACCAGGAGGTGAGGAGTGTGGTTCTTTTAAAAAGCTGCACAGATATGTAGGGAGCTGCTGAATCCTACTGCTGCTTCAGTCCAGTGAGAAGATGACCCTATGGCCTGGGCAGCCTATGTGTGATGCTATTTCATCACTTGCTTGTCACCACAGGACTTTGAGGTGGGTAAAAATGGTAAAATAGTATAGGTGATATCTTTTGACTCACACATAAATTAGATTTAAGTGAGCCAGAGTGGCTTGAAGTCATCAACCTCACTCTCTCCTCTAGAGTCATCCAAGTCCAATGGTAAGACAAAAATCCAGATGACTGAGAATGGCTCAGGATGCAGTAGATGACCTTGGTGTCTTTGATATCTAACCAAGCTCTAAGTGCTCCACAGTGCCTGCTTCAGCCACCTTCACGGCCCATTGGAACAAATTGTTCACATCCACCTACACTTCTGGGGGGAAATCTGCACATGCTTGCTGTAGACACCCCCCTGCTAACTCTCTGGTGGATCTGAGGCCGTTCGATTATCCTCAACCTAGTTTAGCTTATCTGCTGAAACAGTTTACAAGGATGTGGCTGCTGCACATGCTACAGCTTCTTAGAGCCACAGGTGAGAGTTGGGTGGCAGGTGGACATCAAAAGTGGAAAGCAGCCCTGAAAAGGGCTCAGCAGCCCTCACCCCAGAGGTATTAGTCATCCTTTAACACCCGTATACCCCACAAACACATATAATATACAACCAAACCCTGTAATGCACATCAAAACTCAAATAATATATAACAATCATCTCTAATTGGATTGATGATCCAAACATTTTTAAGTCATAAAAAACTGGAAGACGAAGGTATAATATCTTTGTCTCAACTATATAGGAACAATTAGTTTAACTAAATAAAGAGAAGAAATCACTGGAGACAAAAATCAGAGGATATGACTATTCAATGATTTTTTAAATGAACAATGACAAAGCAATTATTTCTAAAAATAAAAGAAACATGGGAGAAAGGGCTGACATTTAGAATTGAGAAAGAACTAATACGTATGTATAAGAGTAACACTTTCTTCCCAACAGAACAACATGTAGTTAAAGTACATGAACAAACCATTTCCTAAAAAGATGTAGGAAAAAATTGATCAAAAGTCTTAATAGCTAAAGAAATGCAAATCAATATAAATTTAATACACCATCCTGCCAGATATAAGCATAGCAAAAAATAAGGGGGAAATGGTTTACAAATATAGTTGGCATGGCTTCAGAGAAATGGACACTTAATTACATCAAGTACATTATAGACTGATATAGATTTTTAGGAAGGCAACATGGCAGATATAGTAAGAATCAAACAATAGATCATACCCTAAAAAGACTCTAAGAATAGAAGTACCTATATATAAAAAAATTACCAGCTACTTTATTTATAATATCAAAAACCAAGGGACAACCTATGTATTCAATCATTGGAGAATAGATAAATAAGTTATGATATGTTTTTATAATGGAAAATAATGGCACTGTAAAAATGATAACTCAGTAATATAAGAAAACATGCAAAGACTTATATGTAGGGTTGCACAACAAGATCAATAGAACTATAAGAATGTAGATAACTATATTAATAAAAGGAGGCAAGGGAGGTTGAGGCAAAAGTAGCAGAATTCCAGGCAGACTTTGAAGGGGACATAGAGAAAACAATTTTTTTTTGTTTGCTATCTGTTGATTTGACTGGTTTATTTTGTTAAATTTTATGGGTTTGATTTCAGATTATATTCCTTTTATATTTATTGAGTATTTGTTTTATTGATTCATTTACATATATGTGGAAACATGGAGATAAAGCTGGGTATGATCTTGACTCTGCCACTAACTTGCTTTGTTACTTTGGGTAAATAAATGTCTAAACTTCTAATGAACTTCTAACTATGAGATTTTATATTGCTATGATTCTAAATCACCAGTCTTTTCTTGGCATCAGTTCCTTAATCTGTAAAAATGAATGGGTTGAACTAGATAATCTCTAAGGACTTTCCAACTCTTAACCTATATCTGATCTCTTTCCTTCTCTATACTTTAACCAATCTCTATCACTGTCT